TACAATTCTACTATGCTTGAACGAGAAATGTCCCCCCTTTGGGAATGGCCAAAAGACACTTCAGTTAGTGGCACTGCCCCGGGGGAAGACAAAGAAGTTTGAGTAAAGAGAAAGAAATAGACCCCAATAATAAAGGTCATTAATTATTGTTGTCAAAGAGCAGGATCGACGTTCATTAGTGTGTGTATGTGTGTGTGTGTGTGTGTGTGTGTGTGTGTGTGTGTGTGTGTGTTATTCATCATCGCGTGTAAATATACACACGTGTATGATGACAATAAATGGGGCAAACCAATCAAAACAATAACTCAGCGTCTAGTCAATCGACATGCTGACCTCTAAGAGTTAATTAAGTCACTGAGTTGCGACGCGACGCGGTGTAATCGGGCCCTCGTCAATTTTTGGGCATATGGAGTTATTGGTATCATCTTAAACCTGTTTATTTGCCTTGCTTTAGATGAATAAAATACCCATCGATCATGTATAGACGTAGATATTTTTTTTTAGATTGTAAGAGTTGGGGGTCCCTTGTGGGAGGGAAAAAATTAGCGAGAAAATGGCTGCTAAAATTTGGTGATTTCTACAGATTGGGAGGCCACTATCAGAAACTGTAAATAACGTACATTTTGTGTTCCTTTGATCAACGTTTTTCAGTAAAAGCCACACAAAAATGGTTTTAAACGGACAAAACCAATGTTGAGCCAAAGGGAAAAAATTCATTAAAATGTTAAAGCCCAATGGGCGGGGAAAATACCGATTTCATAGACTTTATTATTTTGACGAGCGCCTGATTTCACTACGACGACTCACAATTAGGCATATAGCAAAGACAGCTTGGAGTATGTGTGTGTGTATTATAATTGAAGTTTCTAATCCAACGCTCTTATAAACGACCTTGAGTTTCCCTTGCCATCTCAGCGAACTCAGCCCAGCTTTCTTGATCCATCATTCTGAAGAAAAAAAGAAAGAAAAAAATAGTAGATCTTAGTATCTTCTGTCTTACTATATGACATTATGCAGTTGCGAGCGCCGTAAAACATTCACCAAAAAAAGGCAGAAAAAAAGACAAGATTGACACAGCACACTGGCCTTGAAATTACTTCATGGGCAAAGACAAGACAGTCATTTCGAAAGCACAGCACAGTACGTACAGGCAGCATTCAAGAGATGAGAGTGTCACGCTGAGTGTGTGGTCAGAAGGCAAGGTCGCTTCAATGCTTTTAGTTTTAGGACAGACAGTCGCGTACTAGGCTGTGTCATTGCAAGGCATAGATCTATAAGTTATAGCATAACACTGCCGCAAAAAAGCGATTGCTGTTTGTGAAATTGTTAACACATAATTGCACTGCATGATGTAGGTCTAAGCATTTAGAAATCGAGTCTACATGTGTTGTTTTTGTTTAGTAGAGGTTCTACGCACGGCGCTCGCAACTGCATACCTGTCCCCGTCGTTTTATGCAAGAAAAATTCTGAAATTATACAAACTGAGCCCAAAGATGTGAAATTATGCGATTCTGTTAATTTTTTACAAAGAATGATAAAGGAAAAAATCAGAAATTATGCAAAAAATGATCAAATTTTGCTAAATTATGCGGGGTGCATAAAACCACGGGGACAGGCATACGGTCAAGTGAGCGCCATAAGGAGTGGATGTGAACAGAGAAGTCTTTACAGGGACTCAGACTTAATATGCTCATCTCTCTAGCCTCAACAGCACAAAGTCTGCTTCGACTATCAAGGCACCCCAGAAATACCGGGTCACAAGAGTGGGACAAACATACAAAAGAAGTAGAGGGAAAATGACGATAGTAAGCATTAGGAAAGAAAAAGCAGCAGTTCCCTGTTGCAGTTCAGGCACAGTTATGAGCGTGACATTGATGAATCAGTCCAATTACACTTACAATTCTACTGTGCAAAAGAACTCGAGATGTTAATGCCCCCCCCCCCCCCACCCCCTTTGAGAATGGTCTACACTTCAGTCAGTAACACCGCCCCCGTGGGGGAGGGGGGGAGGGGGGAGGGGGGAGAGGGGGGAGGTTAGTCTACATGTGTGTGGATATATTGTATTTCCCTGTCGACAAAATGTTAGTGTTACACAAATATTTTCAAGTGGTAAAATAAAGTTGCCTAGCTTTTCAGGTTTATTTCACTCTTACGCAATATATAGTCAGTATTCCTTCCTCAACCTCTTGTGTGTTTTTGTTGTTTTATTCATGAGTCCCTTTCCTTCTTTTTTAAGAGGGGGGGGGGGGGCTACAGCTGATTGCTTTATCTCGCTTATTAGTTGACCAAATGCTACCAAAATTCACACATATAACAAGCATAGTCAGGAGTCTTAAAATCAGCAAGCAAATTTGAGAAAAAAGTTTCGATTCCATGGATACGGCGGCCATATTGGATTTCGTTGACACATCTTACGTAATTAATACCACATGCACTTATTTTTCATGGAAATAAATTGGGGGATTTTTTTTTTGCATGCATCTTAACAAACCATACATCTACAAATCTGTGTGATGAAATAGTTGTAAGAGAGGCTGAAGAAGCTAAAAATGCCCACAACGTGAAATCCATAGTTTTGAGCCGAATCGGGACTTTCAGCCGTAGCCCCTCCCCCACTAAAGGTTTCCCCACCCACGCCGTGACGACAGACCGGGAATACCCGATAAGACTTGCCTCCGCGGAAACTTCACAAACAGCTATTTTTAGATTCTTAGTCATTTTTCAATGGCAAATCATAATCATGTACAGCATACAATAAATAGAAGAAGCACTGTTATCTTTGTTCATTGCTTGTTTTTACGATTTATCTCTTGACAACTATATAGTTTTAAATGGCCCTTAAAATTAATATAAAACTCGCTTTCTTTGTCTAAAAAGGTTTGATAATCTTGCGTCACCCCAACGATATCTGTAATATTCCACGAATGCTGAATTACAGAAAGTTTTATTTACAAAGAGAGACCAACTCAACTTTAAGATGGGATGGAAAATACCAGCGGTCATAATAGTTTAGTTAGTTCCGTTTGAGTAAAGTGAAGCACGTTAAAGGACACTTTAATTATTATGGTCTTGTCAGGGACTAGTCTAGATCTATAACGTACAGAGGATAAGACGAAGACAGAGCAAGATAGAAACAACAGTGGGGAAGAAACAAACTAAACCTAATGTATCAGAGGCGTCCCTCATCCAGGCGCAGCCGTTTGTAAAACGTCGTTCCGCTCAAGATAAAACAAACACTATTTAGCGACAAGAATTAGATCTAGATTAGATCTAGATCTAGACGACAGCGCAAACTGAACTTACCCTTCGTTTGGGGGGTCTTCCTGCTCAGACGCAGACCCAGATCTAGCTGCATCCGACATCGTGGCAAACACAACTTGTAGTTGTAGAAGTCTTGCTCAAAATCAGTGGAGATCGAGGGTGGTTATATTGTATACAGGTGCCACTGCAAGACACGTCCTACTACTTCTATATATCCACGTGTTGTTACGGTTCAAATATGTCTAACTCCCTGCATCAAATTATGACCGGTGTGTCAATGTGGCACTTCATTTTCCTGACTTTCCTCAAGCAACACAACTGACTTGGCTATGTGAACACTGAACGCAAAGCCAAGCGGGAAATCCCACACATTTATTTTTAGACACATATGTTGCTTCACTGTCACAAAACCGGTTTCTGGTGTTCGAAAAATTTGCTCTTTCTAGATCTAGATCTAGATCTAGTAATATTGTGAGAAAGAATCTTCAGGGCTATAAATCGAAGAGAAAGGTTCAGACACTACACCCACACACACTGTACATATTACTGTAAAGCTGTTAATAACAGAACAAAATGACTTTTTCCCCCCAGTTTGTTGTTGTTGTTGTTTCTTCATCGATCCCTCATCTGCACTCAATGTTTCACACGTCGAACCAAAGATTCTCTCTTTGGTCGAACGTCTGGGCACGGATCAAAACCAGTGATTGGTCTGGGACGAGACGTGCTTTTTTATTTTGGCAGTCCCCGTGGTTTTATGCACCCCGCATAATTTAGCAAAATTTGATTATTTTTTGCACAATTTATCATTATTATTTTCCTTTATCATTCTTTGCTAGAATTAACAGAATCGCACAATTTCACTATTTTGGACTCAGTTTGCATAATTTCAGTAATTTTTTTTTTCACAAAACTGCGGGGACAGATTTAAGGTCGTCTCGGTCTCCGATCAAAAGAAGAGTCTGAGGCAACCAAGGGAAAGTACTTTGAAAATGACCACGACATGAACAGTATCTATGATTCCCTCCCTTTAAAAATAAACTGCACCGCAGCCCCTCCCTCTTTGCATCCCACCCGAGCTACCGTACTGGTGATGCTTAAACTTAAGGATCCGGAAAATACAGGGGTTTTTTCTTTTTTCTCCCCCTTTCTTTTTTTCTTTCTTTTCTTTTTTTTCTTTTTTTTTAGAGCTTATTGCCACAGGACTGTATCATCTGCATCATATCTCAGGTTACTGATATTGCAGCCCCCATCAGCGACTCCCCGTAAGTCTTGAGATTCTCTAGAAATAAAAGAGTTTTATGACTCATGAAACACAATTTATACGTTTATATTATTAGAGGTGTTATTAGAGTTATATTTATTTTATATAGTAGAGGGTTTTATGGCGCTCACAACTGCATAAGGTCATATGAGCGCCAAGAGGTGGGTGTCAACAGAGAAGTCTTTACAGGGAATCAGACTTAGACTGCTCACCTCTCTAGCTTCAACAGCACAAGGTCTGCTTCGACTATCAAGGCACCCAAAATAGCAGGTCACAAGAGAGTGACAAACATACAAAAGAAGAAGAGGAAAATGACAATAGTAAGGACCAGGAAAGAAAAGGCAGCAGTTCCCTGTTGTAGATCAGGCACAGTTATGAGCGTGACATGAGTCAGCCCATTTACAATTTTACTATCCTTGAACGAGAAATGTCCCCCTTTGGGAATGGCCTAAAGACACTTCAGTCCGTGGCACTGCCCCGGGGGGGGGGGGGGGGGTTTAGAGTTAGAGAGTAACATACAACAAAGAAAAGGCAGAGGAGAGATGAAGTCAATAGATGTTTGATAGGAAAGTAGCTATGGTACTGTCATAATCACCATCAAGTGCCAGATCTGAAATAGACACTGGCATTCATGGTGTGCCACTCAATACTCTTTTGTTTTAGTAAGAGTTTTACGACACTTGCAACACAATAAGGTCATATATAAGTGCCGAAGAATAGATTATGTGTTACAAAAGAGTAATATACACAAAAAAGAAGGAGGGGAGATAAGGACTACCGATGTTTGATAGGAAAGAATGAGCAAACCACACCAGAGCATCCGCCAACCACCCACACTCAATTCTCTGATGGGGTGCTCTAAAAGAAAACTATAAATAATCATCCTGAACCTTACCCGTCGCCCATTAGTTTAAGTTCCCTGTCCAGTCGTTTCTGGTTCACCTGTGCCTCTTTTGTCTTTTATTTTTCTAGGGAAGGGCAAGATGTTCAAAGCTATAAGTGAGTGTTTGGCGGCTGCCCTGGTGTGGTCTGCTCCTTCTTTCCTATCAAACATCTATCGTCCTTTAAATTGATCTCTCCTCCTTCTTTTTTGCGTTTGTTACTCTCTTGTAACACCTCGCTATTCTTCGGCCCTTATATGACCTTATTGTGTTGCAAGTGCCGTAAAACTCTTACTAAATTTAAAAGCTTTTATGTTGTTCGACCAAGTGTCATAGGAAGTGCTTTCCTCGTATTGTTTTTTATTAGTAAGTGTCCCACGCGGGCCTGGCATGGTACATTATGAAAACTTAACGACACAATCAAACAACAGTGTGATATAAAACAGGTTGGGTTTTTTTAATCCAAATATTTTATTTAACAAATTTATAAGAAAAAGACACAATGAGACTTAAGAGTATCAAATCTGTTCAGTCTCAAAGAGCATGACGATTTTCTTTTTGAAGAAAAGGAAGTGGCATTCTCTCCACTGTATGACATTTATAATAAGAATAATGTATAGAGTATTTTCTTTACAATATATCTAAATTAAACAAAAAACACACAAAGCAATTTCATTTCCAGTTCTCAGCTATCCTGTAGCATAAAACGTATGAAATACCGTAATAACCACTCCAGGTGAGTAAATTTCCTGAGAAACTACAGCGTTCAAAGGTCCAGATAGGGACATTCATTTACACCCTTTTCATACAAAAGATAGAGAGGAAAATCCTTCTTTGAGAAATATTATAAATGATACAAAAATGATATAAAAACAAGAAGGTATGTCATTCTCTCAAAAACTAACAAAATCTTTTTACTTTCCAATTATAGGCCTACAATAAATAATATATATTATGTGCCAGTGTAGATACAACAAAGGTAAATCACAACATGTCATGGTGGAAGAATTATGAAAGGAAAATTCTCCTCCAATTCAACTTTCGAGATAATTTCAACTCTGTGGTAATCAAAGAAGAATTATGAATGGAGAATTTTCTCTTCTAATTCAACTTTCGAGATAATTTCAACTCTGTGCTTATTAAAGAAGAATTATGAAAGGAGAATTCTCCTCCAATTCAACTTTCGAGATAATTTCAACTCTGTGGTAATCAAAGAAGAATTATGAATGGAGAATTTTCTCTTCTAATTCAACTTTCGAGATAATTTCAACTCTCTATGGTTATCAAAGAAGAATTATGAATGGAGAATTCTCCTCCAATTCAACTTTCGAGATAATTTCAACTCTGGGGTTATCAAAACAAAGTAAAACCCCACACACCTCGTAGATTGGCGTAAGTGTCTCCTATATAATTCTTCATATCTCCACTTTGATGAATCTTGATCCAAAAGTCCACGTTAAACATTTCTTTTACATATATAAAAACAACAACTGGTTGCGGAAAAACAAACATCTATTTCAGTCAGAACTGAACCCTTCTCCAGTTGACAAAACCCTTGAAAAAAATTTTTATTTGTCTTTCCTATGTTCTCACTACAATACTTACCTTGGGCTTAGAGCATGTTATATATATTGGATACATGGTGCAAATTTGCGATTGTCCACAGACTCAAACAGCGCGAAACATGTCTATAGAAGGGCAAGCTGCCCACTGTGATTCAAGAGTATACGAACTACATTAATTAATACGTATAACATTAAACTGGTATTTTTTAAATTTCATAAATTTGAAAAACTATTTCAATTTTTTTTTTTTTAATCAGCGAATTCTTTTCGAGGGAGAGAAAGGAGTTCATCTTGAGTTAGTTATTGCTTGAAGAGATAACACGATCAACATGTCCGGCAGAAAATGTTCAGAACAGCACGTCAGCATAACGCCAGTCATCTGGTGCTGCAGAAAAGCAAAATAGACAGACAGAATTCCCCCCCCCCCCACCAGAAAAACAGTAAAAAATTAGGCTAGGCCTTCTATCTGCAAACCAGTAAACAGCTTAAATGTGATAATAATTGTCTAGAGTATCTGTATAGAAAGTGCTGGCTCAGCAAATATTCCTAAAATACTAAGCCAAGATTCAATGAGGTAGAAACACAATTCGTGATGAAACAGCCTAAAAAAGTAATCTCCTTCTGCATTAAAAAGTGAACTCACATTCAAGAAAAACCACAAACTTTGTCTTATTAACAGAAAATATTTTTGCGTTCGCAACATCAATACAGCTGACTACCAGTAAAAAAAAAATTTTCAGCAGTAACAGTCACTTCAAGATGGCTTCCATCAAATTCACTTCAGGTTTTCCCAAAAGCTAAATAAAACACTTTGTGAGCAAATTCCTACATGTGTACTAAGCCCTGAAAGCAAAATTTTCTAGAAGAGAGAGAAAAAAAACTGTTTCATTATTTTGACAGCTGCACCTACATTTGTATCCAATCTTGCTCTTTTTCACATTTGGAATTTGAATTTCGACAAAAATTTCTTGAGCATATACAACCCATACCACAGATTAACTCCTTATCTCCGGCAAGCTATTCCCAGCGGCTCGTAGTCAGAACCGCTGTGCCAGTGAGCTAGCTACTAGCAGCGGCTTGGGCACACTCCTTTATGACGACTTTAGACGTCATATTAGTTTTCAGCAATTGCCGAAAACAGGTCTCTTTTATCGGAAGTTCATTCATTAGAAGTAGAAGAACTATCTAAATAGGTTCACTTGTTCGGATTTAACGACCAATTAAGTGACGTTTATTTCACTTTTAGATCTGTACCAAAAGAGGGCCCCGGCAAAGCGGGTCTCCCCCCTCGGAAATAAAGAGTTAAAAAACTGGAATAAAAAAAGGATTTCAAAATGTTGGGCGTAGAACATCTGAACAGTTAGCCTTTAACTTACTTCTTCAGTTACTCAGAATTCTTCAAAATAATAAACGTTCAAAAACAAAAAACGAAAGAAGCCATAGCTTCCAGATCTGGCAAAAATATCTAACCACAAAACAGAGACAAAGCACAAAGATAAAATGGATATGTGCTCCTTCAGAGTTGGCTTCTTTTTTTTTTTAATACTCAAAACAACAAAAAGTATTTAAATTTGATCTCGATGATCGTAGTAACAATATTCTGGTGGCGAAAAAGTCTGTAAAATCGAAAAAAATCTTTTACATAGAAACAGTAACATTTATAAGGAATGTAAGCATATTGATCTAAGTCTCATGACAAAAAATCTACATTAAACCATTCAGGCACTTCATTGAGAAGGGTAGGCATTACGAACCATTATGCATAGAAAAAAAACACAAAATGAAGGTCATAAAACAACATGGGTTAAAAAAATGAAACAGTAGGATAAATAATTCATCACACAGTGACAACACCACATGGAGTGCACATAAGGCCATTGTTTGATCTGTCAACACTAATAATTAATAATAAACTACATTTGTATAGCCCCTATCCACTCTCTTTAGCATGCTATATTCACTTTACAACTATTGTTATCCCAGCAAACCCGAGAACACTCAGAAAGATTCTCGATTTTCACAGAAGCAGCCCTTCCCCAAAAATTGTACCGGCTCAAATACTAAAAAACTGATTTTTTTGCCATCAACAGCCAAGTATCCATTCTCACCTGGGCGAAATAAGGACGTTTATTGTACAAAATGCCTTTCCCAAGGACATAACGTCGGGCCCCCTACAAAGGTTTGAACCGGTAACCTTTCAATTACAAGTGTGTATGCCTAACCACCTGAACCATCAATCCCACAATTTACACAGGTCAAGCCAATTCATCACTCGAGGAGGAAGTTCTTGCTTCTTTCATCATCATCATGATCATCATCATCATCATCGTCAGCATGATCAAATATAGTGACAGTGATAGCAATCCTACAATGATAGCAGACGCACCCGGAACGAAGCACTGACAGGATCTCCCCATCGCTCCAGTGGCTAACTGAGTAGTGAGTTTCGACTCAAGCAATGTCAAGCAAGTGTCGGTGACACGGGGATCAGATGGGTGGTCACTGGGGTGTGTCCTTGAGCAAGACACGACAACCCTAGCTAAAAAATACAAGGCGCTGCACAGTGGCCACCGACAGTGGCATTGTTTGTAAACTGTTCTGTATTTGTGTAATAGTGTGTATTTATGTATGTATTTATGCATGTATGTATTTATGTATGTACGTATTTGTAATTATGTATTTATGTATGTATGTTTGCCATGGTAAAACAAAGTGCCCTTCAGGGACAAATAAAAGTGTAATTTATTATTATTATTATTATCATATTATCACAACTAACATCGTCCAACACGCCCTCTTCTATTCTTAGCAGCGAACACTGGGGTATCTTTCTTGTCTGACTCTCTCACATGAAAGGAACTTTCGGTCTAACATTGTGGTGAACCTTTTAAAAAAGAAGGTACTTACTTCTTACGTGTGTGGTTTGACTTGATTCAAAATTGGCCCATATTCGGTGGGATAGAAGGGGAGGGTAGGGGAGGGGAGGGTTTTTTCTCAGACTGTCACACTCCTGACCCAAGAGCCGGTAAGATTGAGTCTTTTTTAGTTTTAGTAGAGGTTCTACGGCGCTCGCAACTGCATAAGGTCATATGAGCATCAGAGATTGAGTCTAAAAGTAGGATGGAGTCTAATCTTCTCAAGAAAGTATAAAATATATGTCGACACAAGGTCCACCTGCTAAGCAAGAGAAAAACACCTTTGTAGCTGAAAGATGGAGAAAAGCGGGATGCCGAGGGAAAAACTCGATACCCAAACGTAACATTCGCACTTTCTAAAAATCTTTTCAAAAATGACCTTCAGTATTACAATCAGTTAGCTCAAACACAGAAACTTGGGACATGATAACATGTTTTTTCTTACACTCTTGTGGCATCACCTCTACCCACAAAAAGAAAAAAAAATCCCTTTCATTTTATCGCATATTCATACCCATATTTTTCTAACAGGCACCATCAGAAAATTACAAAGGCGCAAAGACCATCCACACACACACAAGTTTCCATAAAGCACCTGTTCAAATAGTGAGCATCCCCAGCAAAATCATCGGAGCCAAACAAACAAACAAACAACAACCGAGATAACAAAATCTACACAGACAGGCTGCCATCGCGGAAGTTTGTCTTGCCGATCAGGGTATTGATGAGCACGCTCTTGCCCTTGCGAGACTCTTCCACCGCGCTGCGCAGCACCTTTTCAATCTCGTCTTCGTTGGTGCGATCCAGGCGCATGCCTTTGCCTCCGAGGCCTTCCGCTGAAGCTTCGTAGTCGCAGAACTGCAGGAAATGACCACACAAAAAGGATAGAACGTGAGTACTGTCGAAATTGTCCAAAACAGCCTGTCCCCATGGTTTTATGCCCCCTGCATAATTAAGCAAAATTTGATCATTTTTTTTCATAATTTCCTAATTATTTTCCTGTATCATTCTTTGTCAAAATTAACAGAATCGCATGATTTCACATTTTTGGGCTCAGTTTGCATAATTTCAGAATTTTTCTTGCATAAAACGACGGGGACAGGACAGCCACCCATTGTTGAGGAGGAAAGTGATTGTCTTAGACAAATGGATGTCTTGGACAGTGTCATTATAACATAACATAAGAAAAACTGCACGGGGAGAAGTGGGAAGTGGTTGTTTTTACACATGATTGTCTTGGACAGGTAAAGGTTAACTTTTTATCTCCTGTTTTATTGTTTGTTTTAGTAGAGGTTTTACGGCGCTCGCAACTGCATAAGGTCATATGAGCGCCAGAAGATTAGAGGTGTTACAAAAGAGTAACAAACATAAAAAAGAAGAAGGGGAGATCCGGACGATAGATGTTTGACAGGAAAGAAGGAGCAAACCACACCAGAGCACCCGCCAACCGCCCACTTTTTATGTCCAGCAAGCCGCTCCCAGAGTAGCTCTCTGACAAATGTATCTGTTCCATAGGAAAGACTTATGCCTCCTTTGAATTTTATGTACCATTCTTTTGCCCCTCAGTCAAATCTTAAGAAAATGGCAGCTGTTTTGACGTAATAAGACATTGTGAAATTTGCTAACTGGCTGTAACTCATTGAGGAAGCGTATTCTGGTCATTCGACAACACTTGATGACGTGTCGTTTTGAAGCAGTTTCGATAGTCATACCATTTTTTAATTGTTTTCTTTATCAAAAACTAAAAGACTCGGGCAATAATGTCATGTACTTTATGAATATATATGCAATTTCATGTTTCTGATTTAATAATAATAATAATATATAACATTTATAGAGCGCATTTCCAAAAAAAGTAGCTCAATGCGCTTTACATTGGAATACCCATTTTTCAAAAACCTTTCTTACTACTTCCTTTCTTCTCACGCAATATACATTAATGCACACACACACACACACACATACACACACACACACACACACACACACACACACACACACACACACTCACACACACACACACACAGAGACTATTTTCATCCAGACATAGGAAAAGAACAAATATAATGAAAGCTAACGTTAAAAGCTTATGAAGGATATGTTTCTGATTTGTGTACAATAGTTCAAAATAAACCACAACACTGCCTTTGGTCTTCTGCTGATCGGACATACATGTCCACTACCTCCTCAAAGAATTAATGTCAGTGTTCTTTCTACCGTGGTCAAGTTTTTTTTTTTTTTTTTAGTAAGAGTTTTACGGTATTTGTAACACAATAAGGTCATATAAGTGCCGAAGATCAGAGGTGCTACAAGAGAGTAACAAAAACAAAAAAGAAGGAGGGGAGAGAAGAACGATAGATGTTTGATGGGAAAGAAGAAGCAAAACCACACCAGAGCACCCACCAACCGCCCACGTTTACTATGGGAGAAACACTTAGGTTGGTTTGAACGGGCACGGGCAAACTGGAAACAGCACGCATTACCACTGTTATCGTCATTTTGAGCAAAGCAAAAACGAGACGAAGGCTAAAACGACACGTCGGGTCAAGCAGAGGTAACAGCAAGTCTGCACAATGGCGGCGCTTAAATCTGACCAGGAATGGCTGCAAGAAAGGGGGGGCACCCATTGCAAATGTCCAGATACCATTGAAATGTGCACTACCGACTTCTGTTGAATGGTTGTCACCCATTTTTCGGAGACTGGATTTTGGTTTCTCAGGAGTATTGTATGGATAAGGATAAAAGGGAGTAGAGTTACACACAGAAACATATGGAAAGAACATTTTGTCTTATACATAAGTATATAAACCAATTTTTGTGGATAATTTCATCTTTTAAATCAGACGAGTTTTGAAAATATTTGCATGTTTAGGAAATTTCAAGAAACCAGTTACAAGGATAGTGTATTGCAGCATCAACATATAAAATACTTACTGCATTTAAATCAGATGAGTTTTTGAAAATCTTGCATATTGAGAATCCAGTTACATGGACAGAGTATCGCAATATCTGACAGATAAAGAACTTACTGCAAGTTGACAAGACACCGCACTGCCAAACATGGGCACCTGCTCACGAGCAATCTGTTGCCAGGACGCATCGTTGCCGACCAGAGCCAAGATTGGAGTCTGAAAACGAACAGAACAGAACAGAAACATAATATATTTTCCATTCATTTATCGCTCTCTGCATCAAACTTCACCAAACTAAATCAGACTCAGACTCGCTAGACATGTAGTTCGGCTAAACTGGTGCAACGTACCTGAGAAAGGTAAAGTAAAATTGTTCCCGCATCCGATCCGGACATTGGGGATTGCCTTGTTAGTGAGACAATTTCCAGGGCCTTTGGCATATTGTGGTAGGGCGGCCAGTTCCTTTCCACGCCGCTTTACTTCCCCAATTCGAAGTCAGGTACCCATTAATGCTGGGTGGGCAGGAGGGGGCGAAAAAAATCTGTGTCCGAACCGAGGCTCGAACCTGGACTTTCCACTTCGGAGAAGAGCACATTAACCACTCTACCACTGCATTAAGACAGGAAGATAGGTTTGGTTCTTCTTTCGACGACAAGTGCAACCAGCAGCATCAGTGATTGTCTTTTGGTGACGTGTTCTTTTGTCAGAACTTGGTATATTACAGGTGCCTCTATATGTACATGTATTTGAAAGGATTGTTGTACAATGAATGAGCCGGTACGGGGATTAATGAAATAATAATAATAATAATAATAATAATGATAATAATAATAATAATAATAATAATGATAATAATAATAATAATAATTTTGCAGTCACACAGCCAGCAGTACAAAATCCCCATCTGGTCATCCAGCCAGAAGAGTGACTGCAACAGACTTCTCAACTGCCCCAGGTGACTGGAATGGGTAATTTTCACCGTCGCATTATTGTGCCGAGAGACCGCAAAGTAGCATTTGTATAGCGCATATCCCTGCTCGACAGCAAGCTCTAAGCACTTTACACTTTACTATTACCCCAGCAGACTATAGAACACTCAGAAACATTCTCAGCTTCCTGGGAAGCAAACACTGAAAGCAGCTGATTAAGCGCTCAAACACTAACCAACTGACTAGATCTTTCACTGTCTATAGCTGGGTACCCATTCCCACCTGGGTGAAGTGAGGAGAATTCCTATAAAGTGCCTTTCCCAAGGACACAACGTCGGGCCCCTGACGGGATTCGAACCCACGACCTAACGGTTGCGAGTCTGAGAGGCTACAAGTACAAATGCTGAGAACAATAACTAATCTGCTTACCTGATTTCAGTTAAAATAATGGAAATATCGGAAAAACAAGCAGAAGAAATGGCATACCTTATGTCTGGTGTAAGTGTCGAATTCTATGAGACTGTAGCCCAAAGAACCGTCGCCATAAATAATCCAGACATCGGATTCCGGACGGCACAGTTTAGCTCCCAGAGCGAAGCCTCCGCCAACCCCAAGGGTTCCAAACGCACCAGGGTCCAGCCACCGAAGAGGGCCTCTGGGCCTGCAAGCACGGCGAAAAAAAAACAAGAAAGGAAAGGGATTTATTAATTAGAAATTCAATTTGGGAGCTGGTGAATAAATAGGATTTGGTGAGAGGTACTTTCAATTTCCTTCTTTAGGATAATGAAATTGATCTTGGGTGGCGGTGGATGGAAAAGGATTCATGTGTGCAGGTGTGTGTGTGTGTGTGTGTGTGTGTGTGTGTGTGTGTGTGGGTGCATATGTGTGTGTGTGTGTGTGTGTGTGTGCGCCCACGCGTGTGTGCGCGTGCGCGTGTGTGCGCGCACATCGCGTGTGCGTATCAAGTAAAACAAACACACCACACAGCGGGTAACAGCTTTATCTCCCACATAAACAGACAAGCAGCGCACAGCGGTGATCAGTTACGACGCTTTGTGATATACCAAACATAAAATGATGTCATGTGTATCTCCCAAACATAAAATGATGTCATACGATATATTATTACGTATGGTGCAAAAATGTTGCAACTGGTGACTTGACAAATAACATTATGCACTGGTGCAACCTGCTGCAACATTATAATGCACCAAATTAATAACCTTGTTTTGAAAATGTATTTTCGTTACGTTCTTTCTTTGGGAAGAGCTTGTGAACGAAACGTTTTTACATGTTTGATTAAGTAGCAGCACATAACAGAATAATGGTCACTCAACGATAAAACCGAAAGAAAAAAATCAACAAAGTAAAAAAAAAATATCAAGACCCCCCCCCCCACACACACACATACAAAAGCAAACAAACAAATATGCAAACCAAAAATCATGACGAAAGGCATCAGACACTACAGGGGAAAAGAGTAAAAATATAGGACCTACTACTGGCGCCATCCCCCCCTCTCCCTTTCCCCCTAACCACCACCACCACCACCTGTACCAGGGCGTTGTACGCTAACTAAACACATCAGCGACACCCGCCAACCGTCCTTTAACCAACATGTCGACAGTGAATTTAAATACCGTAACTCTCTCTCTCTCTCTCTCTCTCTCTCTCTCTCTCTCTCTCTCTCTCTCTCAAAGTCCGACAGCCTTATACTTCTACAGCAAACATCATCCTATCATCTTGGAAAAGAGCAGTGAATCCAAAATAAACAAATTTCATAGCGGCAGCCGGAATTGTAATAATAATCACATCATCGTCGCATTATCATTCGGTCTTTATCGATTTCCTCGTACTGGAGTAAAAAAAAATAATTTAAAAATAGGAATTCGCAAGGATTTTTTTTGGGGGGGG